AAGAGCCCTAGCAGTGAGTGATAAGCCCAGCTGTGGGTTGCCAGGGGAACCAGAGGAGGTCAGCTGACTGTAAGGGGCAGGGCCTGGCCTTTATAAACCCTAGGGGCTGAAGCCAGAGGCAGTTTCCTGCCAGCAGCCCAGGAGGAAGAAGCTCTTTACTGTGGAAGAGAAAAGAAACCTGATGAGGTAGCAATGTCTGTCACTGCTGTGAGATGAAGAAACCCTGGTAGGCTTGAGCATGATTATAGCCAGGTGGCTTCTGTTTATGTTATAGCCTAGGGGCTTGAGTTTGTGTTGCTGTTTATCACTGGTGGTTTGGGTGAGGCTATTAGGGGTTGGAGGAGGCCTCATAGGGGGCTCATGGTAGTGTGAGAACCTCAGTGCCAGCAAGGGTGCAGCATTCAGAGTGCATAGACCCCAGCCCCAGAGAAGGGGGCATTGCTGAGAAGCCCCAGTGCGGTGAGCCCCGGAGGAGAAAGGCAGTGAAGAGCCCCAGAAAGAAGGTGCAGAGAGAGGGAGGGCCGCGGAGAGCCCACATGCCAGAGAGAGGGTGTAGATCCAGACTGAACAATGTCTATTCCAGCTGCGAGGCTTGGGGCGTGGTAAAAGGAGTGGTTGGAGCCACGCATAGCCCATAAGGCTAGGGTGCCCTGAAGCACCCATTTGCAGGACAGGACCCACGAGGGGTCTTGGAGTCCACGGGGCCAGAGGTTACAGCGAACCGTGTCCAAGAAGACATAAGGCAGTGTCCCTAATATACTGGAACATCAAAGACATGGTGGGCGAGAATTTGAGGGTGCCCTTGGGTCATCTTGGCACGGGAAGGGGGCCTTGAGGAGATCACAGCCCTCCTGTAGGACCCTGCCATGACACCATGATTTAGGTAGGTCCCTAGTTGTAATAGAGCCAGGATTGTACAATATGATAATGATGTTCAGGGTGTAACCAATGCCTTTCTTTGGACCTTGTTACACATTGCACGTTTTGCTGCTCAAATGTTGATCTGTGTTAGTGCTAGCTCAACTTTGGAGCAGTCCCACTTTAAGGCTAAAAACCTTCTATGACTGTCCCCCACCTGCACAGCTGTGACTTGCCACTAGAGGGCTGGCAAGCAGAGGCCTGATTAAGAGCTATAACTGTGTGTGGCCACTATAGGGCTGGTGAATTAGGATAAGCTTCTATCCCTGCTCTAGGCAGAGGGGTTGGGGGGGGGGGAAGTGGAGGGAGAGAGATGGATTGAGAAGGTAGGAGGCAGAGAGTTAATGGGATGGGGATGGATAATGAAATGGGAAGTGGAAAGGAAATGGGGGTGAAGGCAGTGTGGTGAAATGAAGCAAGTCAGCCACTGATAAAGTAAAAAGGAATTTGAAGAGAAATAAAGGATGTCTCATGTTTTAATAAATTGGGATTTGAGATTAGGGTGTGAAGGTGCTAGCTGTTATTTCTGGGGTGGCTGGGAGGTGGGAACTGTGAGGGAAAGTGCTTTTGGGGGGAGCTATTGCCCCTGCCCTGGGAAGGAAGCTCCAGATCATGGGGACTCAATCCAGCCTAGACCCCGCCCCTGGATTTATCCATACCATGTGATCTGGCTAGCTGGCATATGCACTGCAGGTGTTTGCTGGGGTTGCAACCCTGGGAGTGGGAAAGTCATACCTCTGGGGATGGGAGGAGAAGTTGGTGCCAAAACTATCCCCTGGGCAGTAGAGTTCAGGGGATGGAAAGTTTATCCACCCAGAACAGGAGGGTGGGGGAGGGCAGGGAGTAGGGGACACTGCATATTGGGATGCTGGGAGACTGCAACTTGGGCAGCTCATCTGTGGGGAGTGGCCACACATTAATGGAACACGAGCTGGATAACACGCATTACAGATAACTGCCCTTGAGTGGCATAACTTTAAGTCTCCTTCAGTGTGTTTTAAAACTGGTTTCGGGTGTTAGTATATGGACAATCCAGGGGTAAAGAGGTCCATAAACTGCCTAAAATGTAATGTGTAACAAGGCCCTTTGACACTTAAGGGGTTGAAAAGAAGTAATGGTTTAGAATTAGTATCTGGCCAGAATTTTTTTCCTTGCCCCCCATGCAGACTTGTCTGAGGCACAAGAGCCAGCCTCTGCCACTGCTAGTACCCTGTCCCCACCTGCCCCAAGATATTGGGAAGAAGAACATTTTATTATCCATTTGTCAGCATTAATTGTGGTTCCAGGGCATTTGACTATACAGGCTTACCCATCCTACAGTAAGGGGGCTCTATCTTTTATGAGCACATGATCAGACAAGTGTGTGATCCTTGTATAAATGGCAAAATCCCCTCTGTTAAGAGCTGACAAGGCTTGGGCAAAACTGGTAAGTTTTGAGGCACCACAGACCAAGGCGTTTGCCTCTAGCACATCTCGGTTGGTTCTCAGTGGTCAAGCAGCAGACAGCGGAAGGGGCTTTAGGGCAAAAGGACACTTTGAAGGTGAAGAGACATCGTGAGAGTGTCTCTCAAAGCTGCAGTTATACCACAGCTCGGATCAAGGTGTTTCACATGGTGTAAGCAGTGAACATCATACTATCACTGATAGCTGAATAGCCCTTCCAACTACAGCCCAAACAATGTGCCATGCTGCCACCCCAATAAAGACAGCAATAGAGGAACCACTTCTTCCTTCACTCATGTGTTGCACTAGTGCAATTAATTTGACTTCAGTGGATTGAATTCTAAATTTATCCTGTGAAAACATGTTGTACCAGAGGTAACAAAGCAAACTTGTAGAGATGCTCAAGTTATATTTTTTATTATGATCTTTAAATCAAATCTAGTAAGCATATGAAGGTTAAACTACGCTCAACCCTTTATAGAACTCCCATAGGTAAAAATAAGGGGTCTGCAATAGGATATTGCATAAAAGATTGCCGTTCTGTAGTAACAAGCCTTTGAGTTGGAGAAAACAAGGTACAGCACTTTAGGCAGTCCACTATTGTTTCATCTTATGCAATTTGTGTATTCAGTTCTGATACGGTTATTATGCAAATTCCTGTAGGTACATACTTTCACATTTAGATTTTAAAAGTTTACTTGAAGTATCAATTCTCAAAGCTAGTGACATATCTCTATCAAGATAAATAAGGACACTTCACCATCTCTTGGATTTGTTGTTCATTGGCGATAACTGTATAAATGACATTTGGTTCACATAACCATAAAAGCCAGAAACTTAAAAAACAAAAAACAAACCCCAAACAAATCTGTAATTCTCCTGAAACTGAATGGACTAAAGTAGTGGTCAGGAACTTTAAACAGGTCACAGTTGTGATTTGGAGTTAGGATTCATTGCTTTAAGAACCTGGAATATATATACATGTTTGTTTGTGTTGTTTTTTTTTTTTAATGGATCAGGTATGAAAATTCTCTCTCTCTCTTCTGGATTTTTCTTCTTTATGGCAGGGGTGTAATTTTTCTATTAAATGCTATGGGAGTTCCAAAAGTCTTTAGAAAGGATACCATACTGTACAAAATTCTTTAGTGTTAAAGATAATGTGAGGTCATGTACTGTTGAATGCCATGTACTGTAATGTTGTAACGTGAACTACAGCTCCCAGAAGTCCCCTGGGAACTGGAGAAACTAACTGTAACGCACTACAATTGCCAGAAGGCTGCAGGGGATGGAGGAAGTAGAAAAGAAGTGACAGAGCACAGGACATCACTGCTGAGAGATGTGTGGCCGGAGACTCCGAAGGAGGGGCAGAGCCAGAACTGCAAGCTACAACAGAGGAGCTCAGACATGGGAGCCCTAGCAGACAGCAATTAAGCATTTTAGGGACCAGAGAGTGGTTGGGAGTCCCTCCAGAGTTGTGGGAGGGTTTAAAGTTTTTCTCAAGTGTATATACCAGGGTGTTAGTGTTTCCTACATGTTGCCTCTTCTTGGGTGATTTCACTACAGAGCCCACTTATTACCTGTTACCTGGATCCTAATTGTATGTACCTTTTAATGTTGATGTTTATTCCCCTGTCCCTCTCTCCCTAGCCCACTGGCTTGTGACCCCCAGCCCCCAACATCCCCTATATGAAAGTGTGAATTTTCCTTGTTGGGTCCCTGTGCCAGCTCCTGGGGCTGCAGAGTTTGGTACAGTATTTCCAGAGAAGCTTATTAGATTTTTTTTATAGAAACATACTGTTTTCATTCCTATTACAGTCTGAAGTGTTTTTTTTCTATAGGGAGATCAGAGTAGGAGGAAAGAGATAGAAGCATGCAGAATATATGTGTCTAGGAGTCCACAGAAGAAGTCTTCCTAAACTGTGAGCACAAGAACTGGACTGTGGGGGGTGGGGGAAAGAAATATAACCCCTGTTGATATGAAACAAATCACAAAGGGAAGTGAGGAATATCATGTCACATTGCTGTGGCCACTGCTGCTCCTGTCCCCAGATGAGTCTGGTTCCCTTCATAACCCAGTTGGACCAGGGCAGGAGTGGCTATGGAGTCATGTGGGGTACCAACTAAGGTCAGAAGGAACAAGCAGAATCCAGGGACAAGCAGGGTTAGCAGGCCAACCAGAAAGCAGGTCTAGGAACAAGCTGAGTCAGAAAGTCAGGAAATTAAGGAGAGTGCAGAATCAATGAGCAAGTCAGGTGATGAAGCTGGGAGATCAAGCAGAGATCAGAGTTGGACAGCAAGATGGAAGCGAGGAAAGAACCCTAGCAGTGAGTGATAAGCCCAGCTGTGGGTTGCCAGGGGAACCAGAGGAGGTCAGCTGACTGTAAGGGGCAGGGCCTGGCCTTTATAAACCCTAGGGGCTGAAGCCAGAGGCAGTTTCCTGCCAGCAGCCCAGGAGGAAGAAGCTCTTTACTGTGGAAGAGAAAAGAAACCTGATGAGGTAGCAATGTCTGTCACTGCTGTGAGATGAAGAAACCCTGGTAGGCTTGAGCATGATTATAGCCAGGTGGCTTCTGTTTATGTTATAGCCTAGGGGCTTGAGTTTGTGTTGCTGTTTATCACTGGTGGTTTGGGTGAGGCTATTAGGGGTTGGAGGAGGCCTCATAGGGGGCTCATGGTAGTGTGAGAACCTCAGTGCCAGCAAGGGTGCAGCATTCAGAGTGCATAGACCCCAGCCCCAGAGAAGGGGGCATTGCTGAGAAGCCCCAGTGCGGTGAGCCCCGGAGGAGAAAGGCAGTGAAGAGCCCCAGAAAGAAGGTGCAGAGAGAGGGAGGGCCGCGGAGAGCCCACATGCCAGAGAGAGGGTGTAGATCCAGACTGAACAATGTCTATTCCAGCTGCGAGGCTTGGGGCGTGGTAAAAGGAGTGGTTGGAGCCACGCATAGCCCATAAGGCTAGGGTGCCCTGAAGCACCCATTTGCAGGACAGGACCCACGAGGGGTCTTGGAGTCCACGGGGCCAGAGGTTACAGCGAACCGTGTCCAAGAAGACATAAGGCAGTGTCCCTAATATACTGGAACATCAAAGACATGGTGGGCGAGAATTTGAGGGTGCCCTTGGGTCATCTTGGCACGGGAAGGGGGCCTTGAGGAGATCACAGCCCTCCTGTAGGACCCTGCCATGACACCATGATTTAGGTAGGTCCCTAGTTGTAATAGAGCCAGGATTGTACAATATGATAATGATGTTCAGGGTGTAACCAATGCCTTTCTTTGGACCTTGTTACACATTGCACGTTTTGCTGCTCAAATGTTGATCTGTGTTAGTGCTAGCTCAACTTTGGAGCAGTCCCACTTTAAGGCTAAAAACCTTCTATGACTGTCCCCCACCTGCACAGCTGTGACTTGCCACTAGAGGGCTGGCAAGCAGAGGCCTGATTAAGAGCTATAACTGTGTGTGGCCACTGTGGGAAATTAGGATAAGCTTCTATCCCTGCTCTAGGCAGAGGGGTTGGGGGGGGGGGAAGTGGAGGGAGAGAGATGGATTGAGAAGGTAGGAGGCAGAGAGTTAATGGGATGGGGATGGATAATGAAATGGGAAGTGGAAAGGAAATGGGGGTGAAGGCAGTGTGGTGAAATGAAGCAAGTCAGCCACTGATAAAGTAAAAAGGAATTTGAAGAGAAATAAAGGATGTCTCATGTTTTAATAAATTGGGATTTGAGATTAGGGTGTGAAGGTGCTAGCTGTTATTTCTGGGGTGGCTGGGAGGTGGGAACTGTGAGGGAAAGTGCTTTTGGGGGGAGCTATTGCCCCTGCCCTGGGAAGGAAGCTCCAGATCATGGGGACTCAATCCAGCCCCCTACCTTGTCCTTCCTAGACCCCACTCCTGGATTTATCCATACCCTGTGATCTGGCTAGCTGGCATATGCACTGCAGGTGTTTGCTGGGGTTGCAACCCTGGGAGTGGGAAAGTCATACCTCTGGGGATGGGAGGAGAAGTTGGTGCCAAAACTATCCCCTGGGCAGTAGAGTTCAGGGGATGGAAAGTTTATCCACCCAGAACAGGAGGGTGGGGGAGGGCAGGGAGTAGGGGACACTGCATATTGGGATGCTGGGAGACTGCAACTTGGGCAGCTCATCTGTGGGGAGTGGCCACACATTAATGGAACACGAGCTGGATAACACGCATTACAGATAACTGCCCTTGAGTGGCATAACTTTAAGTCTCCTTCAGTGTGTTTTAAAACTGGTTTCGGGTGTTAGTATATGGACAATCCAGGGGTAAAGAGGTCCATAAACTGCCTAAAATGTAATGTGTAACAAGGCCCTTTGACACTTAAGGGGTTGAAAAGAAGTAATGGTTTAGAATTAGTATCTGGCCAGAATTTTTTTCCTTGCCCCCCATGCAGACTTGTCTGAGGCACAAGAGCCAGCCTCTGCCACTGCTAGTACCCTGTCCCCACCTGCCCCAAGATATTGGGAAGAAGAACATTTTATTATCCATTTGTCAGCATTAATTGTGGTTCCAGGGCATTTGACTATACAGGCTTACCCATCCTACAGTAAGGGGGCTCTATCTTTTATGAGCACATGATCAGACAAGTGTGTGATCCTTGTATAAATGGCAAAATCCCCTCTGTTAAGAGCTGACAAGGCTTGGGCAAAACTGGTAAGTTTTGAGGCACCACAGACCAAGGCGTTTGCCTCTAGCACATCTCGGTTGGTTCTCAGTGGTCAAGCAGCAGACAGCGGAAGGGGCTTTAGGGCAAAAGGACACTTTGAAGGTGAAGAGACATCGTGAGAGTGTCTCTCAAAGCTGCAGTTATACCACAGCTCGGATCAAGGTGTTTCACATGGTGTAAGCAGTGAACATCATACTATCACTGATAGCTGAATAGCCCTTCCAACTACAGCCCAAACAATGTGCCATGCTGCCACCCCAATAAAGACAGCAATAGAGGAACCACTTCTTCCTTCACTCATGTGTTGCACTAGTGCAATTAATTTGACTTCAGTGGATTGAATTCTAAATTTATCCTGTGAAAACATGTTGTACCAGAGGTAACAAAGCAAACTTGTAGAGATGCTCAAGTTATATTTTTTATTATGATCTTTAAATCAAATCTAGTAAGCATATGAAGGTTAAACTACGCTCAACCCTTTATAGAACTCCCATAGGTAAAAATAAGGGGTCTGCAATAGGATATTGCATAAAAGATTGCCGTTCTGTAGTAACAAGCCTTTGAGTTGGAGAAAACAAGGTACAGCACTTTAGGCAGTCCACTATTGTTTCATCTTATGCAATTTGTGTATTCAGTTCTGATACGGTTATTATGCAAATTCCTGTAGGTACATACTTTCACATTTAGATTTTAAAAGTTTACTTGAAGTATCAATTCTCAAAGCTAGTGACATATCTCTATCAAGATAAATAAGGACACTTCACCATCTCTTGGATTTGTTGTTCATTGGCGATAACTGTATAAATGACATTTGGTTCACATAACCATAAAAGCCAGAAACTTAAAAAACAAAAAACAAACCCCAAACAAATCTGTAATTCTCCTGAAACTGAATGGACTAAAGTAGTGGTCAGGAACTTTAAACAGGTCACAGTTGTGATTTGGAGTTAGGATTCATTGCTTTAAGAACCTGGAATATATATACATGTTTGTTTGTGTTGTTTTTTTTTTTTAATGGATCAGGTATGAAAATTCTCTCTCTCTCTTCTGGATTTTTCTTCTTTATGGCAGGGGTGTAATTTTTCTATTAAATGCTATGGGAGTTCCAAAAGTCTTTAGAAAGGATACCATACTGTACAAAATTCTTTAGTGTTAAAGATAATGTGAGGTCATGTACTGTTGAATGCCATGTACTGTAATGTTGTAACGTGAACTACAGCTCCCAGAAGTCCCCTGGGAACTGGAGAAACTAACTGTAACGCACTACAATTGCCAGAAGGCTGCAGGGGATGGAGGAAGTAGAAAAGAAGTGACAGAGCACAGGACATCACTGCTGAGAGATGTGTGGCCGGAGACTCCGAAGGAGGGGCAGAGCCAGAACTGCAAGCTACAACAGAGGAGCTCAGACATGGGAGCCCTAGCAGACAGCAATTAAGCATTTTAGGGACCAGAGAGTGGTTGGGAGTCCCTCCAGAGTTGTGGGAGGGTTTAAAGTTTTTCTCAAGTGTATATACCAGGGTGTTAGTGTTTCCTACATGTTGCCTCTTCTTGGGTGATTTCACTACAGAGCCCACTTATTACCTGTTACCTGGATCCTAATTGTATGTACCTTTTAATGTTGATGTTTATTCCCCTGTCCCTCTCTCCCTAGCCCACTGGCTTGTGACCCCCAGCCCCCAACATCCCCTATATGAAAGTGTGAATTTTCCTTGTTGGGTCCCTGTGCCAGCTCCTGGGGCTGCAGAGTTTGGTACAGTATTTCCAGAGAAGCTTATTAGATTTTTTTTATAGAAACATACTGTTTTCATTCCTATTACAGTCTGAAGTGTTTTTTTTCTATAGGGAGATCAGAGTAGGAGGAAAGAGATAGAAGCATGCAGAATATATGTGTCTAGGAGTCCACAGAAGAAGTCTTCCTAAACTGTGAGCACAAGAACTGGACTGTGGGGGGTGGGGGAAAGAAATATAACCCCTGTTGATATGAAACAAATCACAAAGGGAAGTGAGGAATATCATGTCACATTGCTGTGGCCACTGCTGCTCCTGTCCCCAGATGAGTCTGGTTCCCTTCATAACCCAGTTGGACCAGGGCAGGAGTGGCTATGGAGTCATGTGGGGTACCAACTAAGGTCAGAAGGAACAAGCAGAATCCAGGGACAAGCAGGGTTAGCAGGCCAACCAGAAAGCAGGTCTAGGAACAAGCTGAGTCAGAAAGTCAGGAAATTAAGGAGAGTGCAGAATCAATGAGCAAGTCAGGTGATGAAGCTGGGAGATCAAGCAGAGATCAGAGTTGGACAGCAAGATGGAAGGAACAGCAAAGCAGTCTAACATCAAGCTAAGTCCTGTTTCCCAGACAATTTCTGTTCCTGTGCAGGGGTTTATATGGGAGAAGTGGAGGGTCAGCTGATCCTGGACAGTCACTCTGGTTAACAGGGAGTGGGTGAAGGGATAGGTCCAACAGGGGCTTCAGGCCATCCTGGATCAGTTTGGGGAAACCAGCTGTAGGTTAACAGGCCTGGATAAACAGCTGTGTTGACCAGACTGAAGCCCTAGGTTTGAGGACACAGCCTGACACAAAGGCCAACCAAACAGATGATCATACCCCTTGTCATAGCACAAATGCCTGAAATTTGTGGCCATAACAGGTGATATCAATTTGTGCCACTTTATTGCAGCAAACATTACTTAGGTTTATGGCAGGAGGGAGCAATTAGCCCAGAGCTGCCCACACTCTCCCTGGCCAGGCACTGCTAGGACTTTCTGGTCCCAAGCCAGTGTGCCCCAGGAATTCCCATTCCTGGATCCTCCCATGGCATCCAAGGTGACCATGTCTGAGGGCACGAGCAGGAGATTAGGCTCTATGCCACACCCTTTGCCCCAAGCTGTTTGGGCAAACTGTCACACTGGGTTGTGGGTGGCCAGGTCTAGGACTACTCAGGGATTGAAGTGTCAACCATGGTCAGGAGGAGTAAGCAGAATCCAGGGATAAGCTGGGTCAGTAAGCCAGGTCAATTGGAGAGCATGGTCTAGGAACAAGCTGAGTCAGGAGGTCAGTCAGAGAGCAAACCAGGCCAAGAAGCGCAGAGATCAGAGTCGGAGAGCAAGCTGGAGGGAATAGCAAAGCAGTCTAGGATCAGGTTAAGCCCTGCTACTCTGACACTTCCTGTTCCTGTACAGGCGTTTATAGCGGGGTACCACATCCCATTCTTGGGGCACACAGGATTGGGCCTCTGAAGCCTTGGGAGTACAAACCTGGATTCCTCCATTTGCGATTCCCCAGGTGCCTATCAACACTCCAGGCTGATTGGCTGCCTCAACCCCAGGACCGCACCAAACTATCAAACTTGCTCCAGTCAGTGAGGTCCCAGGATTTAGACCACAAATCTTGCTAATCAGCAGTCCTAGCCCCAGAATTGCACTGGATTGCCAAACTCTCTTTGTTATGGTCTCCAAGGAATGTCACTGTAAGCAGGAAAAGATGGGGTTTCCCCACTTACAGAAACATGCCCCAAACTTCTCATGTTGTCCAGCAAGATCAATGGATGGGACGAGTAATGTGCATTATGCCCAACGAAGCAGATGAGCCATGCCAAGACACATCCAAGCACAGCGGATCTGCTTCATTTGATGATGACTATTTCCAGCCCAAAAGAGACAAAAATTGGAGCGAGAGGAAGCCTAGCTCCATCAACACAAATATCTGCAGGGAAAACGGCAAAAATGATTATATGCATCTTCTACTCCTGGGTTCATTTGAGCATGCAGATTTTTGTCTTGTCCTTCCCCTCATTGAACAAATATAGAGTCTAGCCTGGCTGGGGGGCAATTTGACTTGTAAAAGCAGCTACCCAGGAGGACTGAGATTTATTGTCCCATTACTAAACATAAACATTTGTAATCTGTTTAAATCAATGTCAATCTTAGGTCTATTTTTGTTAAGCCATTCAAGGCATTAGGGGGCAAAGTGTAAAATGTTGAACAAAACACACATGAATCTCTCTGCTTCACCAACTATGTCAACTCTGTTACCTTGACTCTTCCATTTCTCTCACATGCATCCCTGTGGCCTTCCCCCCAGCCCTCCCCTCGTGATCTCTCTACATATGGAATGTCCTTTCTCACTCTTCTGTCATGCCTGCGATATGTGCATCTGCCTTGGTATTTGGTTGCAGTCAGTTCTGGAAGCACTAGTTCTGTCTTGGAACTGAGCACTAGTACTGGACAGGGGTTCCTAGAGTGGGGAGGGATTATTCTGCACCCGAATTTCCAGGTTCTGTATCCTCTCTCTTCCGTAAATAAACATGGGGTATTAGACTGTTTCCAAGCTGGCATTTTCATGAGCACTAAGAGCCAGATTCAATTCCACCTATTGGGCACCTAATGAAGCTTGCACAACTAAGTGTGATTCTATTCTACTGTGCTCAAGTCCTCGAAGAAACACCATCAAGCCTACTTCGGTAATATGCCATCATTTTAGACCAAGCCACAACAAGCAGCAGGAGGACCCATTCACCTCTTGCATTGTTTTTCAAGTACTTCAGTAGGCTGGAATAGAATCACCCTTATGCACCTAGGTCTACTTAGATCCTAAAGGCTGGAATAGAATCTAGTCCTAAATCTTCCAGCTAAACAAAATTAGGCCTAAACTATCCAGCCAATTATAATCTAAATGCATTTTTCTAGCATTACAGCACCAAAACCTTTAAAAATAATGCAGATATAACATACAATATATAGCAGTATGACTCTGGAGAAGCAGTAATAGCAGATGACTAGGCCAAGTGCCAGTGCAAAAACTATGCTATCATCACTTTATGTCTATGATGTACAAATCTGTTTTGGCAATCACATCATATTTTGTAAGTTGTTAACACAGTGGTGATCAAACCTTTGGCCCCACAAGCCAGATGAGTGGTGCAGGGTCAATCCATGGGTTTTGGATTGGGCCCCGTACCACCCCAACCTGGAGTGCTTGAATCAGGCCCTGCACCACCTCCACCTGGTACGCCCGGTGTAGGCCCCATATCTCCTTGTTCCAGATGGGAGCATACCAGACCAGACTCCATGGTGCTTTGGCCTGGCCCCATGCACCTGGATTGGGTCCTACACTGCCTCAGCCTGGCCCTGTGTGCCCTGATTGGTCCCGTACTGCCCCAGTCCCATGTGCCCAATATAATGCACAAGGCCGTGCTATTTGGCTCACCAGGCTCCCTACAGATCTGGAAATTTGGCAGCAGAGGATTGGCCATTAACACTGCCACTGCTTCCCTGCCATGACATTTTCAGACCCATGTGTGGCCTAGAGGGCTGGATGACACAGCCCTGTGGGGCTGAGCCCCTGCTCCATGTTCACCGAAGAGCTATTTTAGTTTTCTTGGAGACATAGGAGATAAAAACATAGCAAGCAATTTCTACAGGGCATGACTTTGAAATGCAAGAGAATGCCCTTCAATGCCAAAACTAGAGTAAAAGCCCTGAAAAATTAAGAATACATGACCAATGCCTTTGGAGGGAATGCATACGTAGGAGACTATAGAGAGAGCTAAGGATGACTGCATCATGCTGCCTTGCAGCAAGACAAGATGATGAGACTGTCCTGATTTGCTGCTCCACAGGGGAACTTCACAATATTCCACTTCATTGATCAAAGTGACACCTGTGACTGTTCTCCACTCATTTCCTTTTCAGAGGACAGAGCATGGCTTTTATCTTTGAATAGTGCTGTACATGATTTTTGGTATATCTGGTTAGATACCACATTCCATGATGCTGTGCTATAATCTGATGTAAAAAATGCAATACAATGATTTTTGTATGTGTCTGATAATATGCAGGTCAGTACTGCTTTGTTAGATTTTGTTGTGTTTATCTTCTGAAAGTTATGATGTATCTAATATAGAATATCTGAGATGCACAGTAAGGCCGCATCCACACGAGCGTGGATATTTGGTTCCCTGGGGACAACTAGCAGTGGGACACCTTGTGCCACTGGCAGTTGTCCCTGGGGAATGCCTATGCCACACGCCTTCTGGAACATGGCAGGTTACCCTAGGTGGGGCAGGGGAGACTGGGCTGGCTGCAGCAGCCTTACCTGGGGTCCTGGGGGCCTCCTGGGGCTGCAACAGCAGCAATCCTGCCACTTGGAGCCTTGTCAGCAGCCAGACCATGGCTCCAGCTTGACAAAGCCCAGGCTGGGATGATCTAGTTGGAGATGGTCCTGCTTTGAGCAGGGGGTTGGACTAGATGACCTCCAGAGGTCCCTTCCAACTCTAATTTTCTATTATTCTATGATTTGAAGAGACACAGAACATTATCATTAATTTTTATTATTGCTTGTTATTGTCTAAGGCAAAAGGAGGTTTTACATTCAATTTGATGACCTTTCTATGTAATGCAATCATTCTTGGAATTGCTGTGATAGACTATGACTATTGTAATATTTCTGGTTTAAATGTGTTAATGTTGTAACAATCTTGCATGCCTCAGTTTTCCTGATTAGCTTGTGGGGTAGTGGGAAGGAGGAGTTAAGAGGATTGAACCTGAAGCTACCTTGCTCACATGCTGGATAAGGCACGATGTGCTTCCAGCAACAAAGAATTGAATAAACTCCTTGACACCCCAAGTGGGTTTGATAAACTTCTCTTGACTGATGACATCCCACTGCCTGGAAGATAGCAAGTGAAAGAGGGAGATTAGCATCAAACAATGGACAGAGCCAACTGAAAAGGAGACTATCAACCTGACAGCTGCAGAAACTGAGGATGGAGCAGTCAAGCTAACTTTGGGGTGTTCTGGGCTGTGCAAGCTGCACTGGAAACAGAAGGACTACTTAACCCTTTAGAAAGAGCAGTAAGTCCTTGCTGGGCGGCCTTTGCTCAATAAAGGCTTTTTCTTGAGGAGAGGCTGTCTCCTTAGCTGCTTGAGATTTCAGTGTCCTCCTTTCCCCTGTGAAGAAGTTCTTTTTCCTGTGAGGAAGTTAAGTCCCTCTCTTAGAAGTTGAATTGGAAGGTAGCCAGAGAAGCTCAGAGACCAAAATGGGCACGTCTCAAATTCAGACAGAGCACAGGCTCACACCACTCTAGATAGGGGGCTCCAGGCAGTATTCAGAGGGACCAGACAAGGCTAAAGGCCCGAGCAAGTGCTCCCCTGGGGGTATTGATGACAATGTCATAATAGCATCACGATCCTGTCTAATCGGCCATAGTTCAAAGAACCAGTTGATGACTCTTACTGACACCTTCCAGTATCACCATACCACTGTCATCTCTGCTCTTTTTCCCAATAGACTTGAATATGTTGATTCTCTGTAGGACTTATTTCCCATGTGTAAAGGAAAGCAATACTAATGGTGGACAGGAACACAGAACTAGGAAGGGGAATGCACATGGCATAAGGGAAAGGGTGGGAGGTCATTGTAGGTTGTCCCTGTATTTGAGGAGGGATGGGTGGGTGCTGGACACAGGGACCATGTAATGCAATAGAGGGATAAAGGAAGTATCTGGCATGTACAGTATGCTCAGCTGGGAGAAGCCAAGTGTATCTCTAGTTATGTTGGGGATGGTGACAATTGTTGCTGTTGTACAGGTTAGCAGAGGTGGGATCTGGACTAAATTTCTGAATGCCAGCCCTCTGCTTAATGCTCTAGTCCACAGCCCACCATTCAATGGAATCCCCATCTCATTATCCATAAGGAAGCAGATAACTGATTTTCCACGCACACAAACCCTACAGAATCTCAGCTGTAAACTGCTTATAAGCTCCTTTGGGATACACCAGGGGAGCCTATTCACTGGATGACAACTGAACTTCACAAAATGTGCCAAACCGAAAGCCATGCTTAAGATTTTCTTGAAGTGATTCTTTAAATTTTTGGTATTTAAATCCAAAATTAACTGGGTGTGCCTGCACAAGATGCTGACTGTGCAGTAGCTGAATATTACTACACAGTAGCGCATCGCAGTATGGACAGAGCTAATATGCTACTGCATAGTTATATTAGGTTACTGCAGAGTAGCATCACTTAAAAGATGTTTGTCAGTGCTACTGCCCAGTAACTCTGGTTACTACACATTTATTTAGTACTTGCTTATACAAATACTAAATAAATACACAGTAACCACTGCACAGTAGCATCTTGTGTAGACATGCCCATGATCTCTGTAACAGTCTTATGAACAATAAGCTTTTCAAAACTTCTGGAATAAAATAAGTATGGTGCTTTTGGCTAAGCCATAGATTCATAGAGTCAGAAGGGACCTCAATGGGTCATCTAGTCTGACCCCCTGCTCCTGGCAGGCAAGAAAAGAACCACCAACCCTGGGTCATGTGATTCCAGCCAGTTGTCTGTCCAGTCTCCTCTTGAAGACCCCCAAGGATGGAGCGAGCACCACCATTGTTGAAAAAAAATCAGACGTTAAAAGTCTGAAAAGGAAATTTTCTTTTTTTTTTTTTTAAGTCCCTGATTTTAGAAAACTCTCTTTCCATTCATATAATTGTTTTTCTTAAAATGACAAACTTTAAATGCAAACAAAACTCCTACAGGAAGAGAGCTGAAGGGTCAGAAACTGGCTTAAATGAAAAGTAGGTTGCAACATTATTATGGAGAGACCAACATCTCCCTGTAGCTCCTATACTCATATGGCAGGTAGGCAATGAGTTCCAAACTATTTTTTCCTGAGATCATAAAGTAGGAGCCTCAAAGAGTCTCTTTTCTAACTAACTTTTTAGGTATTTTACTCTTCCTCATGGGCAACTGGTGCCTCCTGATACTGGGGGGGCACCAGTGGCCAATTGCCAACTGTGGACGAGGGGTCCCCACAGTGGCCAATTGCCAACGCTGGCAGAAGTGCTGGCAGCAAGACTGGAAGTGCCAGCAGGAAAACTGGAAGCCACCGGCACTTCTCTCGGCACCCCCACAGTCTCAGGGAGGCACCAGCCATCACCCCCCACTCCCCGATCAGCAAGGGCCAATGCTCCCCATATGCATTACTTATGCTGTTCTTAAATTGATCATTTCTAGAAAATAGTATTCAATTGCAGCATGAATGCTTTAAACAGAGTTCAGACTACACTTCAACTC